AGGGATGCTCTGTATTCTTGGAGCTTGGGGGGGGGGGCAACAGTGAGAGGGCCTCTAGTGTCCTGTCCCCACTGTTGGACCTCCTGATGGCCCCTGTGTGAGAGAGTGTTGGACTGGATGGGCCACTGGCAGGCAAGGGATGCTCTGTATTCTTGGAGCTTGGGGGGGGGGGCAACAGTGAGAGGGCCTCTAGTGTCCTGTCCCCACTGTTGGACCTCCTGATGGCCCCTGTGTGACAGAGTGTTGGACTGGATGGGCCACTGGCCTGATCCAACATTGGCTTCTCTTAGTTTCTTATAGGAGGGAATTGGATAAACATCTGAAGCAGAGGTCCCTCATTGGCTATTAGCCACAAGGTATAGATAGGAACTCTCGGGTCTGGGGCAAGTGATGCTCTGTAGTCTTGGTGCTTGGGGAGTGGGGGCAACAGTGGGAGGGCCTCTGGTGTCCTGGCCCCACTGCTGGACCTCCTAAGGGCTGTGACACAGAGTGTTGGAATGGATGGGCCACTGGCCTGATCCAACATTGGCTTCTCTTCTGTCCTTATGTTGTGACCCGTCCTGATGGGCGGGATATAGATGTGAAAAATAAATGAATACATTTTTTAGCCTCCGGTTCACACATTTTTGTCTTGGCTCGGGAAGGACGGGGCTCCAGAGGAAACCGACTGATGCAGCAGCCAAATGGCTCACTCACAGCTTTCGTGCCAGTGGCTCAAGAAGTGGAATTTTTCCTCACAGGGCTCCACGGCTTAGAGGGGGCAGGGATACCGACCCGGATGGGCCGGTGCCAGTGGCTCACGAAGTGGAATTTTTCCTCACAGGGCTCCACGGCTTAGAGGGGGCAGGGATACCGACCCGGATGGGCCGACGGTCTGATTCAGTCCCAGCCCGATTTCTGTGTCTGCGGCCTTCCAAACACGCACTGGGCCAGCCCCACTTTTTTGGTTTTGTGCCCACGGCTGCTCCCCCTCCAAAAAAAACCCCCAAACAGAAAACCCCCACACCATTTCCTCACCCCCAAGTTGGCTCGCGGGAAGAAGGCTGTGTAGGTTTAAGTAGGGGTTGAGTGGAATCTTGAAGTCCTTGGGCGGTTCGCCCAGCAGAGACACCTGTGAGAGAGAA